TTCCCACAATGCTCTGCTTACCTCCTCATAACCAGAAGCAGCTTCACCCACAGCAGTCTGTGATTGCTTCATACAATACACCACCACACCAATAGTGCCTACAATGCCTGCTGTGCAAACCAGGCACTCATTCCCTCAAACTAATTGTGTCAACTCCTCCTAGTTAACTGAATGCCTTCTCTGTATCACCTCTGTTAAATATTTTAGGTTCATAAATATATTTCCTGTGGGGCTTTCTGGAAGAGCTCAATTGAAATATCTTCAAATATTTTTTTTCAAAGGAGAATGCTCTGCTCTAGCTATTAATTAAAAGAGTTTTTATTGAAGATCTAGACTAATTTGAAACAAAGTTTATTAAAATATCCTACAGTATCTTTAAAATCATTCAACATAGCAATTTTTATTACCCAAAATCAGCAAAGCTGTGAAGGAACAAAATTAAATGTTTCTTTCAATGCTTCCAATCTATTGTGTCTTTGTAGTATATCTTGCAATTAAGAATTGCTAATCTCTTCATTACTAAAATAGCTCTTTCCTACCTCCACAATATTGATTAAAAGCTCCAATCACTATTTATTGAATAATTTTAGTTTCTTTTTAAATCACAGATAATGTCTGCAGGAATCAATCCTCTTCTCCTTGAATATCCCCTTCATTTAGCTATTGTCATGTCCATCTTATCTTCTTTCTGGGACCAAAGCTTGCCTTCTTATATTTCAAATATAATGATACTCTACTCATTTTCATCTCACAAAACTGCATTATCAAATCCAAAGTTTCAAGATATGATCAACAAAAACTCTATTGAAACAGAGAACCATTGACAAAATATTTAAATGTGAACTATAATGTAGAAAACAATAAATAATAAAAAGCCAGTAAAACCCTACAGTGTTGGCCATGGTGTTTAGCTCAATCAGAAAGGTGAAACTCTATCACAGGGTGAACAAAATTCAGTGTGTAAGTGTGCTGGTGTTTGCTTGAAGGCAGTTTTATTATAACCTTTTGTGGTGGTTTGGGCTAGGCCTTCCTTGGTGACCAGTTTGTAACCAAGGAAGGGTCCAGATTTACCCAGTATTCCCTACAATTTTTACGTAAGCCAGATTATAAGAAGAGAGGAGGAGAGGCCTTAGTCTCTCTTTCCTTCTGGCAGTTTGGAGGTGCAGGTTCCCTGCTGTTGAGTCTGCCGTGTTGGGGAGCGAGGCCTGGTTAGGCCTTGCCGACCTTGGGAGAAAGAGGTTGCCGGCGATCATTCCAGAGCGACTTTCGGTTGTCCCAAGGAGAGTAGTGAGCTATTTCTTTGCTAACTCTTTTAGTTGTTAGATATTGGGTCACTAATTGGGTCACTAATTGGGGCCCCTGGTGATCTAGTGGTTAGGATGCAGCACTCTCACCGCTGCGACCCGGGTTCGATTCCCAGCCCCCCGGGCAGATGGATCTCGTCAGCCCTGTAAGGCCATCCATCTAAGAGAAGGTCACTCTAAACAAACCTACGTCCTGAGACCCTCACTGCCACTGTCCAAGCTTGCTTGGCCCCGGCAGATGAACCTCAGGATTAAAGGGTGGGTTCAGTTCAGGACACACTGTGTCTCACCTAAAAAATCCACTGCGCAGGCTCGAAGGGTAATGACCTTTCCCAAATCTTCGCTTGCGAAGACTGGCCATACAATTGGGATATATATATTTTATTTTGGTTTTGTTCCTTTTCCCTTCCCCCTTCCCTTTCCCTTGTGAAATTGTATATATTTCAAGTGTATATAACTGTAACATAGGTGTAAATATATTTATATATATCACTTTAGCTGTCTCTCTCTCGTTTTGGGTTTTCTTAGTTTTTTCCCTCCCTCTTCTCCCTGAGGTTTGGGGGGGGGGGAAACTTCTGGTGGTAGGGTTTGGAGACTTGGCAGGGAACCAGCTTCAAACCATATCACCTTTTAACACCTGACTGCTAATTTTAACTACTTAGAAGTTATAGTGGATTGCACAAGTACCTCTAGTTCATTTCAGCACAAAATAGCCAAACTTAGTGTAATACACAGTTGTGTACGCAGCGCATAAATGTAGTCTTTGCACTGCTCCACGCTCAGCTGGTGCCTCTGCTGAGCACCACCTGTCTCACAGGTGCCTGCAGCACAAGTTCTGACTTAGCACAGGACAGCAGAAATAAAGCTGAAATAACAGTCAAACCACTAAGTATAATTTTTAAACTTGATCTAAGAGACTAAAGCCAGTCAGGTCACACTTCATCATAGGAAAACATTTTTTTTCCTGCAGGAAGCTATTTCTGCGTAAGGGAATAATGTCATTGAAACAGCTCCATGTGATTTGAATCATAGCAAGTATCAACTAGCATATAAAAATAAAAATCAAACCAAATATTGATTTTAGCTGTCATAGATTTAGTATTAAGCCATCCATCCATCATATTTTTAAAAAATTAATACTTGTGTTAACCTAATACTTCAAGAGTCACTGTATTTTTCATTTTAACTAAGACTTTAAACTCTTTAAAACAAGAGTTGCAATGCAATTCCAATAAAAAAAAAGGGTAAGGAGAGTCAAATACTTTTTTCCTTAAAAAAAAAAAGGACCAGATAAAAAGTACCGTGTTAATTAATAACTGCAACTGAAATAGAGAATTCAAGTACGCACAAAGAAGCAAATCTCCTAACAATGTTTCTGATATTCCTGCTCTCTGCTCATGTTTTCCTCAAGAGTTTTAAGTATGACCCTTCGCATCACTGTTTCATAAACCAGTGCCTCTGAACATTTTCAGAAAGCAAGTCTGTGACTCACCCAGTGCCAAACTATATCTGATAGACTTTTGCAAAGTCTTAAACCCTGTACAGAGGCTTACACTGCAGGGAGGGAAGGCACACGGTACTCTGTTAACAATTTCCATCTGCAAGACAGATTCTCAGGGCTGTCCAGCAGTTACATGGTTTTATCCACGTTCATGTACAGAGATTTATAGCTTAACATTGCTACACCTCGTTTGCTCCTATAGCCATGAAATTTTGTACAAAACAGGATACAAAAAACAGTTATGGGCAAATTAAGTGTCTATAAAATCCTATGTAGATGTGATTCCTACCTAATCTTTCTGGTGTAATAAACTCCCATGGTAGGAATACATTTGTTTGTAAACAGGAAATGCTTTTTCATTTGCTGTAGTAGACAAATACATTTGATGAAATACACTGATGAAATACATTGATGAAATCTCCTGTAATAGTAAAGTAAATCTAAAGTAAAGTAATAAACTGGGGTTTATGAGATTTTTAAAGTATTTATTATTTATATATTTAATAGCTGTATTAAACAAGGTTTCATGCACCATAGTTAATACTACTGCTCACTTTCCCAAGAGTTTTTGGAGTAGTGTCTTACTTTACTTCCATTACATTATTTTTACTTGTTCTATCACTTCAAAGTCTTTTTCAGTTTCATTTTGCATTAGGCAGGATTTCATAATTTTAAAAGCATCATTTGTATGTAAAATGATCCATAATTTTGCTGTCCATTATTTTAATAAAATAAACATTTTAACAGCCTCAGAGATACTAATTACATTTTATACTCCACTACAAGGCCTAAAAATATTTTAGGTAGGTAAAATGCCAAAATACTAATGGTTTTAGACCACAACCCTTTGACTTTCAGCAAATGCTCAGACCACATGAGCATTTATGTAGCTAGGTTCATTCAGACAGTACTTAACAGCACTGGTTTAAGTAACCTTTTTACCAGGATCATAACAACACATACACATACACAGCACATGCTGTTACCATAACTGCTGTGCTAAGATTGATACTGAGATTTAAGTAAGAGACTAGTTTAAACCAATTGCTTCAACACCGTCTCGAAGACATATCCATAATCAGGAAAACAGCCCTCTCAAGTACAACACAGCTATAATTTTAGGACTCCAAGTGTCAACACTTGAAAATGGAATTAAACACTGGAGTCTCTTCAAACTTGACAGTTATCACCTTCAGTATTTGACTACTATCTCATCTAGCTCTGCAATACTTCTTGTCTTTTCTCCATGGTGAAGAGAAGGCTCAGGGGGATTTCATCACAGTATTACAGTACTTTAAGGATATCTACAAAGAGTAGAGAGATTCTCACTTCACAAGGAGCCTCAAGGAAACGACAAGTGGCAGCTGGCACAAGTTGCACTGGTAGGAGTTTCATCTAAACATAAATTATTTTTTTACAGTGAGAACAATCAAATGCTGGAACAACCTCCTCAGAGCAGTGATGGAGTACCCATCGATGGACAAAGTGGTGCACAATCTCATTCAGGCTTCCCTTCCCACAAAAGAGTGGAGCAGATGATCCTCTGAGATTGCTTCCAACCTGGGCCATTCTATGGTTCTGCAGTTATGGTCCAGGAGTTCCCGTGTCAAAGAAAATACCATAGCATAAAGACAAGCAATCCTAGTCTTATGGAAATACTTAAGAAATAGACACAAAATTATTGTTCATACAACCCAGAGGGCAGTATTTGCCAACCATTTGCCAAGAGAGAAAGTTTTTAGTATGGTGGAGACCACACATTGGGGAAGAGTGTGACATTTTTGTAAGAAGCTACAAAATTCTACTTTCAGCTTCCCTATTACTGCAATGCAAAATACTTATGCAGGGGAAAAGAAATGCTTATTTCAATCAAGAAATGTTTTTTCAATTTGTATGTTCTAACATCTTAAACAACATGCTACAATTTTCTACACAAACCAGTTTTCAATTTGCAAAACAATGATTCCCTATGAAGTAAGATACACTGACTCAGAACAAATTTCAAGTGGGGAAGTGAAAACCCTCAATATTTACAATCATCTTTCTTACATCTTACAGATTGCTTTATATAATTGTTGAAGCTGTCATTCTATTGTCAGCTGGTTACAGCCTCAAAAAACCACTCCCTTCTGGCTGACCAAAGCAAGCATCTACCAGACAAAATTAATTTTTTTATTTTACATTTTTTAACTCACCTGCTTGGGAAGACGGAAGAGAGAATTTTTGTAAAATATATCTTTAGCCTGGCTCCATGTTCCATCAATGATGATCATAACAGATGAACTAGGAGACATCACTGCAACTTCTTCCAAATTGGTTGCTTCAGCTCCAGGATATAAAATTAGAGTATTGGGATTCCTGCATACAGTTGCTAATTCAGGATACCTTCCACGCACAGAAACAAAATTAAAATAATTATTGAAAGTTTTCATGACAGACACATACTTGCAGATACTCTGAGTTACTAGCTCCCACTCATTTTCCCCAAATTTTACTTAAAATATTCCTTTCTCAGCTACCACTTTCTTTTTCCAAGAACTCAGAAGTTGTTGGTTCTCTCTCCTGTGAAGAGGGAAAAAACACACAAAAGTAATCAATGAAACCTTGATAAAGCGATATATCAGGAATATTTTCCAGCACTTTAATCACTAAGTCTAACGTCTATTAGAACCAAAGATGTTTTGAATTGTTTACAAAAATTTAACATGTATCTAGCAAAATTTGTTCAAGCACTTGCCATGCTGATGGCAAACTCATTGAAGCCACCAAATTTCAAGTGGAGATTGAGAAGCTGAATTTCTAAAAAAGTACTTTTCTTCCTACAGATAAGAGGTTGACTTTTAAAGAATTTAAAATTCCGTATCAGCCAGGGCAAAAAAGAGAGAGAACATTGCCACATGAGAAATAAAAGAAGGTCTTAAACAGTCTGTTTCCCCTGAGTGACAATGTGAATTTACTTCCTAATTTAGGTACTGTACTTCAGTGTATTTCCAGACTCTGTAGGCTTTAGAATTACTTTGTTTTCAAGCTACTTCACAAACAACTTTTTTCATTCAAAGAGTGGATCACAAAGAATTTCAAATACAAAAATTGTCCTATGTTAACTTAAAAGCCATGAAGACAATCAACTAAGCACAGTCTTCATTTACTTTGTTACACGTATTCATGCACTATTAAAAACACTTATCAAAAGCTTCATGTAGATTTGTTATGATTAAGACTTGGAAGCCAAGAATCTCCATCCTTAAGTAACAATCTCAAAAGAATATAGCAAATCTCTGATGAAATTAGGAATATACACAATTCACTCATACATATGTGACAAGAAAAAAGATATGTAACATTCCACCCTTAGCCAAAGCAATCATTTGACTGAGCTCTTAATTGTGAGTGGGAGGAGTAAGAAGAATACAGCATGAGTTTTTCTTTCAGAAATATTATTCTCTATATAAATATATATATATGTATGTATATATATGCCATATACATAAACTGAGGACCCCTGGTGGTCTAGTGGTTAGGATGCAGCACTCTCACCGCCACGACCCAGGTTCGATTCCCGGTCAGGGCAGATGGAGCTCGTCAGCCCTGTAAGGCCATCCATCTAAGAGAAGGTCACTCTAAACAAACCTACGTCCTGAGACCCTCACTGCCACTGTCCAAGCTTGCTCGGCCCCGGCAGATGAACCTCAGGATTAAAGGGTGGGCTCAGTTCAGCGCACGCTGTGTCTCACCTAAAAAATCCATTGCACAGGCTCAAAGGGTAATGACCTTTCCCAAATCTTCGTTCACGAAGACTGGCCATGATACATAAACTATATAAACTACAAGAGTTTATAATAGTTTTTAGTTGATGTCATCTGAAAGGACCTGATAATGAATGTGACTTAGTTGCCTGTAAAGGCATGATTTAGGTTTCTTAATTAGTGTTAAGTGAGTACTAAGCAATACAAACCCTGAGATTAGCTCAGTTGGTTAGAGCACAGTGCTAATAATGCCAAGGTTGTGGGTTTGATTCCCACAGGGGCCATTCACTTACAAGTTGGATTCAATGGTCCTTGAGGGTCCCTTCCAACTGAGAATATTCTGTGATTATGTGAAAAATAATTACTAAAATGTGATTTAAGTGATGGAAGTGACACTTGGTAGGAATTAAAAGGACTTTAAATTATATGTGCTAGATGTTAAAGAAAAAGAGCTTACTCGAAAAATACACTCAGGTAAAAGGAAGCTTTACTTTTTCTGAAGCCTGCAAGGCAGAGTAAGATTTGTTCTTTTCTCTGTGTGTCTCCAAGTAAAAACTAAGGAACAAAAGATTAAAGTGGGGGCATATGAAGAATCACATGGCTTGGATTTTTCTTTTCTAACCAAGACAACAGAATTTTAAAAACAAAAGCTATTCACAGAATTGATGGGCAATACTACAAATAAGTATGAAAGGAAAAAACAAATCAGAAAACAAAATACAGCAATGCAGTGAGAACTTTTTCCATATCCTGAACACGTCACTGATGTCATAAACTGTATGAAATAGAAAAAGTATAAGCAAACATGAACACAGATCCAACAGGGACTCTCTAAGACACTAAAGATGGCTATGAAAGTATAGCACAAAACTAAACGAGTACTACAAGAACCATCACACTGGTCTGCAATCCAGAGAAAGAATTAGTAATAAATAAAATTAGCAATAAGTAGAATCTCAAAAATCATATTTCACAGTCGACTTTTTCAATGGAATAATGTGGGTAACACCAGCAGCATCAACCCACAAGTCAGCTCATACATTAGAATACAGACCACCTCAAAAAGTCCTCTGCTGCAATTAAAATGCAATGTTCTTTACTATACACACAAAAAAAAAACCCCACAAAATTCTGCAGAAAGTCCACTACCAAAAACAACAAGAGAGATGAAACTAACTTATTCTGCACATCCATAGAGGACAAGAAAAGAAATAATAACTGCAGCAATAAAGATGCAAACTAAACAGGAACAAAACCTCTCAGGCTTTCTAATGGTAATAAGTTAAGTTCATATGTTCAAACAGATCTACAGAGAATTCTGCAGACTCTTCTGTAAGTGCTATTAATACCAGGCCTACTTGCAGCTGATCTCACTTTCGCAGGAGAGTAAGTATTGGCATCTTGATTATCTTTTTATCCCTACTTCTCCAACTATGCTGCTACATATAGCAGCATTTGATGTATATATACATCAAATATACATAGCATCGGTTTGATGATACCAAACTAAGTGGGCAAGTGGACACCTTGGAAGAGAGCGTCATCTTGCAGGAAGACCTGGACAGGCTGAAAGAGTGGGCTAACAAGAACCACATGAAGTTCAACAGAGACAACTATAAGGTCTTGGACTTAGGAAAACATAATCCATGAGTGCAGCATGGTCTGGGATCTAGCCGGCTGGGGAGAAGCTCTGTGGAATGTAACCTGGAGGTCCTGGTGGACAACAAGTTTAGTCTGAGTGAACTGTCCTGCTGTGGCAGAGAAAGCCAACAGGATGTTGGCTGCATGAACAAGGACACCACTAGCATAGATAGAGAAGTAATTATCTCGCTCTACTCAGCACTTGTCAGGCTACACCTGGAATACTGTGTTCAGTTTTGGTTCTCACAATATAAAAAGGATGTGGACAGGCTGGAGAGGGTCCGGAGAAGGGACACAAAGAACCAGGAGGCCTGCCAGATGGGAAAAGGGTGAGAGAACTGGTTTTTTTCTGCCTTGAGAAAGAAGGCCTAGGGGAGACCCAATCACAGTGTTTCAGTATTTAAATTGTGCCTACAAAAAAGATGAACACACTCTTCTTACAAGGAGTCACATGGAAAAGATGAGGGGTACTACATACAAGTTATATCAGGAGAGATTCCAATTGGACAAAAGAGAAAAAAAAAATTGCAATAATCTCCCCAAGGAGTGGTGGATTCCCCGAAGCTGGATACTTTTAAGACTTGGCTGGGCCAAGGTGCTGGGCCATCTTGTCTAGACTGCTTTTGCCAAGAAAGTCTGGACCAGATGATCCTTGAGATCCCCTTCTACCTTGGTATTCTATAATTCTATGGTACATATATAATGAATATCAATGGCCAATGTTGCTCTTTAGCTGATCTTATTCTTAAAACACAATGATTTCAAGTAATTGAAGGAATATCCTCTATACTGACTATGCTTAAGAAATATCATCTGTTCATATATCACGACATTTCCAGTACTTTCATTAGCAGTTTGCAGACTATAGAAAATGCTGGAATTCCCAAGAGAAATCAATTTTTATCATTTACAGTTGAAGTAATCCAGTCTGAAGATAACCACTTTCTTTCTATAAATACAACACCACAGAATTTCTCATCTGTTAGCCATCTTTCCATGACTAACAGTTAATGTAAAGTTCAAGAAGATGATATAATTTAAAAGACATGCCGTAATGTGCAACTATGGACTTGAACTCTTAAAAGAAATACTTGCAATACTTGCTTCTCATACAAACCACTGTTCAGCTTTGTGTTTGGTATGCAGCAGGCATTGAAGGCCTTTATAATCCATTTAGTCTGATAACAATCTCTGCTAGAGCAGAACTATTCAGATGTTTCATTCATGCCTCAATTATATCCAACTGCTTTGTCATAGCAGATTTATACATTCTCATGATTGTACTTAAGACAAGTAGCATTTCATTATTTCTGGGATCCATGCTCTTGAGATGCGTAATTTAGACACTATCTTATCTCATAATCCCGTTTCTGTATCATAAACATTTTTATTACACATGCACAGTCAGTTGCTCTCAAACTCTCTAAGTGGTTTTAGTTCCACAGAGATGTATTAAACTTTGCCAAGGTGAAAGGCAAGCATTCAGATTTTAAAAATCCAACACTACCATTTGGTAGCAAACAATACTAATATTAAAGTACAGATGCTAATTTATTATCTGTAGAACCATCATGTTAAAGGGAACTTCTCAGTTTTTGTTGTCATTTTTACTATTTCACCTTAGTCATAAGAAGGTACCTTGGCCTTTCTCAATACTCCCGTGCTTGGAAGAATGTAGGAATGCTGATTGCCATAATTCCCATAAGGTAGCAATTCCCATCAAGTAATAAAATTAATAAAAATAAAGGCAATTGTCCTCTGTCATTTCCCCATTCAGAAAGATGCCCTTAGGACCAGGACTGAAGCATGAGTGATATCCAGCAAGAGATATCAACTGCTTTTTTATCTACTTTTTTATCATTTATCTACTTTTTTGTAGATAAATGACATTTACTCCCTAATACACTCTGTATACACAAATTATCTTTGGTCAAAAGATCAAATAATGACATATTTTTAAGGTTTTGAAACCTGTAATTTTATAACTAAATGTTTTAA